TAGAATTCAGTGATTCGGCACTTATATAAAACACCCAGTGTTCATCAATACTAGTGTCCTCCTTAACCCATCACCCATTTAACCCATTCCCCACCCACTTCTCTCCCACTAACCTTTAATTTGCTCTCTATAGTTAAAAGTCTGTTTCCTGGTTTGACTGTCTCTCTCTCTCTTTAAAGATTTTATTTATTTATTTGTGAGAGAGAGAATGCACACAAACGGGGGGGGGGGGGCAGCAGGCAGAGGGAAAAGCAGGCTCCCCGCTGAGCAAGGAGCCCAATGCAGGACGCAACTTGAGCCTGGGATCATGACCTGGGCCAAAGGCAGACTCTTAACTGACTGAGCTGTCCAGGCATTCTTCTTCTTCTTCTTCTTCTTTTTTTTTTTTTTTTCATATGTTCATCTGTTTTGTTTCTTAAATTCCACATATGAGTGAAATCATATGGTATTCGTCTTTCTCTGATTGACTTATTTTGCTTAGCACACTACTCCCTAGTTCCAACCATGTTGTTGCAAATGGCAAGATTTCATTCTTTTGTTATGGCTGCATAATATTCCATTGTATATATAGACCACTATCCATTCACCAATCTATGGACATTTTATAATGCTGCTCTAAACATCAGGGTGTATGTATCCCTTTGTTTTCCTTTAGGTAAATACCTAGTAGTACAATTGCTGGATCACAGGATAGTCATATTTCTGACTTTTTAAGGAACCTTCATACTGTTTTCCAGAGTGACTGCACCAGTTTGTATTCTCGCCAATGGTGCATGAGGTTTCCTTTTTCTTTACATTCTTGCCAACACTTAGTTTTCCTTGGGTTTTGATTTTAGTCATTCTGACAGGTATGAGGTGGTATCTCATTGTGGTTTTGATTTGTATTTCCCTGATGATGAGTGACATTGAGGATCTTTTCATGTGTCTGTATGTCTTCTTTGGAGAAATGTCTGTTCATGTTTTCTGCCCATTTTTTAACTGGATTATTTGGTTTTTAGGTGTTGAGTTTTATAAGTTCTTAAATATTTTGGATACAAACCTTTTATCAGATCTGTCATTTACAAATATATTCTCCCATTCCATGGGTAGCCTTTTAGTTTTGATGATTGTTTCCTTCACTGTGCAAAAGCTTTTTATCTTGATCAAGTCCCAATGCTTTATTCTTATTTTTGTTTCGCCTGCCTCAGGAGACATATCTAGTAAGAAGTTCCTATGGCTGATGTCAAAGAGGTTACTGCTTGTGTTCTTTTCTAGGATTTTTATGGTTTCCTATCTCACATTTATATCTTTCATCCATTTTGAGCTCATTTTTGTGTAAGGTATAAGGAAGAGGTCCAGTTTCATTCTTTTGCATATTGCTGTCCAGTTTTCCCAACACCTCTTTTTTTAAAAGACTGTCTTTTTTCCATTGGATATTCTTTTCTGTTTTGTCAAAGATTAATTGACCATATAGTTATGGGTTTATTTCTAGGTTTTCTATTTTGTTCTATTGGTCTATGTGTCTTTGTTTGTGCAGTAGCATACTGTCTTGATCACTACAGCTTTGTAGTATACCTTGAAGTCCAGAATTATGATGCCTCCAGATTTGTTTTTCTTTTTCAAGGTAGCTTTGGGTATTCGGAGTCTTTTTTGGTTCCATACAAATTTTAAGCTTGTTTGCCCCAGCTCTGTGAAAAATGCTAGTGATATTTTGATAGGCATTGCATGAAATACGTTGATTGCTTTGGGTAGTATAGACATTTTAACAATATTTGTTCTTCCAATCCATGAGCATGGAATGTCTTTCCATTTCTTTGTGTCATCTTTAATTTCTTTCATCAATGTTTTATAGTTCTCAGAGTTCAAATCTTTTACCTCTTTGGTTTGGTTTATTCCTAGGTATCTTAAGGTTTTTGGTGTGATTGTAAATGGGAATAATTCCTTGATTTCTCTTTGTGCTGCTTCATTATTGGTGTATGGAAATGCCATAGATTTCTGTACATTGATTTATATCTTGCAATTTTACTGAACTCATTTTCTAGCAATTCTTTGGTGGAGTACTTTAGGTTTTCTAAGATTTTTATTTATTTGTCAGGGAGAAAGAGAGAGAGAGAGAGAGAGAGAGCTGCAGTGCAAGCACCAGCAGGGGGAGCCGCAGGCAGAGGGAGAAGTAAGCTTCCTGCTGAGCAAGGAGCCTGATGTGGGACTGGATCCCAGAACCCTGGGATCATGACCTGAGCCAAAGTCAGACACTTAACCAACTGAGCTACCCAGGCGATCCGAGGCCTTTTACTTATTTTTATTGTCTGATTGCTGAGGCTAGGACTTCTAGTACTATGTTAAATAACAGTGGTTAGACTGTCTTTTTCCTGACTGTAGAGAAAAGCTCTCAGCTTTTTCCCATTAAGAAAGATAGTAGGAAGGGAGAAATGAAGGGGGGGGAATCGAGGGGGAGATGAACCATGAGAGACTATGGACTCTGAGAAACAAACTGAGGGTTCTAGAGGGGAGGGGGGTAGGGATTGGGTTAGCCTGGTGATGGGTATTAAAGAGGACATGTACTGAATGGAGCACTGGGTGTTATACGCAACCAATGAATCACGGAAGACTACATCAAAAACTAATGATGTAATATATGGTGATTAACATAACATAATAAAAAAATTTAAAAAACTAATGATATAATGTATGGTGATTAACATAACATAATAAAAAAAAGAATGATATTAGCTGTGGGTTTTTCATGTATGACCTTTATGATATTGAGGTATGTTCCCTCTATCCCTACTTTGTTGAGGGTTTTTATAATGAAGGGATGTTGTATTTTATCAAATGCCTTTTCTGCATCTATTGAGAGGATCATATGGTTCTTATCCTATTTTTATTAATGTGGTGTATCATATAGATTGATTTGCAAATATGGAACTACGTTTGTAGTCCAGGAATAAATCCCACTTGAATGTGGTGAATGGTTCTTTTAATGTACTTTTTTGGATTTGATTTTCTAGTATTTTGTTGAAAATTTTTGGATCCAACTTCATCAGGGATATTGACCTGTAGTTCTCTTTTTTAGTGGAGTCTTTGGTTTTTGCATCAGGGTAATGCTGACCTCATTGGATGAATTTGGAAATGTTACTTCTATTTCTATTTTTTTGAGTAGTTTGAGAAGAATTTAAAATTTTCTTTAAAATTTTGGTAGAATTCACCTGGGAAACTATTTGGTCCTTTAAAATTTTGGTAGAATTCACCTGGGAAACTATTTGGTCCTGGACTTTTGTTTTTGGGGAGATTTTTTATTATTGATTCAATTTCTTTGCTGGTTATTAGTCTGTTCAAGTTTTCTGTATCTTCCAGTTTCAAATTTAGTAGATTATATATGTCTAGGAATTTATCCATTTTTTCCATGTTGTCCAGTTTGTTGGCATATAGTTTTTCGTAATATTCTCTTATAATCCTTTGTATTTCTGTATTGTTATTTGTTCTCTCTCATTGTGATTTTATTTATTTGGGTACTTTCTCTTTTCTTTTTGATAAGTCTGGCTAAGGGTTTATCAGTTTAATTAATTTTTTTCAAAGAACTAGCTCCTGGTTTCATTGATATGTTCTACTGTTTTTATTTTGGTTTGTTTTACTTTATTTTTTAGTTTTTATATTATTTATTTCTGATCAAATCTTTATTATTTCCCTTCTCCTTCTGGCTTTAGGCTTCATTTATTTTTCTTTTTGTTGTGCAGTTTGTTCTGTCAGTCCTCAGGTTGATTTCATGGGTATTCAGAATGATTTGATAGTTATCTAGTGGTGTTTGAGGGATGAGGCAAGCTTGGGGTCTTCCTGCTATTTCACTATCTTTGCTCTACCAACCTATTTCAGCTTTACTGAATTACAATTACAATTCAGCTTTACTGAATTACAAATTTGTAAGATACATAAATGTACATTGTGATGATTTGATGTACACACCTACTGTAAAAGATTTCCCCCATCTAGTTAATTAACACATCCATCAACTCATTTATTTATTTATTTGTTTATTTATTGTGAGAATATTTAAGCTTTACTATCTTAGGAAATTTCAATCATACAATAGAATTTTATCAACTTAGTCACCATGTTTTACTTTAGATCCTCAGATTTTTTTTAAGTCTTTTAGCTAAAAGTGTGTACCTTTTAACCAACCTCTCCTTATATCACCGATCCTCCAGCCCCTGGCAATCAGTTTTTGATTCTGTTTCTATGAGTTTGACTCTTCTATTAACTTTGGATTTAGTTTGTTCTTTTTCTAGTTCCTTGAAGTGTAAAGTTAGGTTGGTTATTTAAGATCTTCCTTTTTTCTTAATGTAGGATTTTGTTTTTGTTTTGTTTTTGCTATGCACTTCCCTCTTAGAATTGCTTTTACTGCATCCCATAAATTTTAATATGTTGTATTTCCATTTTCATTTATCTTAAGATATTTTTTGACTTCTCATTTGATTTATTCTTTGACCCATTGGTTGTTCAGTAGCATATTGCTTAATCTCCAAGTATTTTTAAATTTTCCAGTTTTCATCTTATATTTGATTTTGGCTTTCATACCACTGTGGTCAGAAAAGATACTTGATATGATTTCAATACTCTTAAAGTTATTGACTTATGATGTTTAACCTATTTCTATTCTTAAAGAAAGTTCCATGAATCCATAAAAAGAATGTGTATTCTTCTGCTGTTAGAAGGAATATTTTATAAATATGTTAAGACATTATGCTCTGGTGTGTAGTTTAAGTTCATTGCTTCCTTATTGATGTCCTGTGTGTATTATGTGTTAAATGTTTTAAGCTATTGCAATCCATGAGAATTGGATTAAAGTTATATTCTTCTGTGTTTATTATTAAATATAAATTATAAAGGAAAATTAAATCTGGAAAAGCAACGACTGACTAAATATCTAATGTTTAAAGTGTTATACCTATGTGTTGATATGGTTAACCAGTATAAGAGTATATGGTCATTTCCTGTATAACTAAATAGAGCCTGTTTCTTAACAGGTGACCTTCAAGGATTGTGATTTAGTGCCATTCAAGATCTACTAGCATCACTTTTGCATGACTACTGCAAAAAGATATCTTTATAGAAATCAGTTCTTTTTTGAAGTTTATAACGTGGACCCTGTTTTCAGAAAGCAGGTACAGTTCATTTTTTTATTAATCTGCCTTTATAGTTGAAATGAATTTTGAAGGGGAAAAAATACATAAAACGTGTGTGTCATTTATGACACTCCTTAACAACAGCTCAATATATTAAAGTTAATATTTTATATACTCAAAAGTAGTGTTTTATCTTTAAATTGAAAAAAGCTTGATTGTATCAAACTCTACAGATATTGTGAAGATAATATTAATGAAAAATAGTAAACTATTTTGTCTTTATTAAATTTACAGTTTTATATGAGCATGGCAAGAACATGAAGATCGTGTTAAATTGTTGGAAACAATAAGAGAAACAGTCCTCTGATGTACCAGCCTCTATTTCTTTCTTAACAAACATATAATATGCTAGTGGGGAGATTTTGTTCCTTTTGATGGCTTGGGTTGGAAAACAGTCCTTAACTTATTCAAATAGGAAGTCATGAGCAGAATGAGTTTGAGACATCCCCACCTTCATAGGGAATCTTCTGAGTGAAAGTGATTATTACAGAGTTTGCTCAGCTGCTCCACATTCTTATATACTTATTTAACAACCCAAATCATTAAATAGTAATTGTATCTATTTGCATCTAAGAGTCCTTTAAAATTAATACATTAAAATATTTTAGAATACATGATTAGATCCATGTTTATTATTTATGTGTAAGTGGACATCAACAGATCATCTCAAATTAATTCCACCACCATGTACTGCTTGACTATAATATTTATGATATATCTTTAGATAATCAACCAAATAGGTCAATTCACTTTTATATAGAATTCATTATCTTTGTTTTCTAATTATTTATAAAATATTGACAGTATCATACCTAATTTCAAGGCTTCCATATATCTATCCTCTAATTTGTTAGGTTAACTCAAGTTAATTGATTCAAAATATTGGAAAGTATTTTACTCAGTCTATTCTTTGTTTTCAGTATCTTCAGTCTTAAAAATCGGAGTTAAAGAAGGAAAGTGACTAAATCTGAATTTGGGGGTAGTTCTGGAAGAGAATATAAGTGTGAAGAGCTTGGACAGGACTTTCTACAAGTCAGGTCCAAATTCTGGAAGGTAACTGCAGAAAATTTTACATAAAAAGTGCCTTTCTTTCATTCCATTAAGTCATATCAGCTTGTAATTTTTATTGAAGGCCTTTATTGAAGGCCCGTACAGTACGAGGTGTCCTTAAATTAACTGTGGAGAAAAGCCACCATGAATTTGAGATTTTCCCAAAGACTAAGAAACAAGAGGAGAGAAAAAAAAGAAGTGGGTAGAAAGTCTCTGATAGTGAAACTCCAAACCATGGAAAAGAGTAGTTTGCCATAAATTAGTGCATTGCTACATTCTAATATTAGACAGATTTTTAACCAAATTTTGCGATCATAGTTCTATTTCTTACAATAAGAATGATCTCAGAATAGGCTACATATAGAAAATAAAATTAAAATAATACAAAGTAAAATTAAAATAATAATTTGTGTTCTATTTACAAATTATATATACACATCTTGGAAGGTATATAAAGCATTTTGTCCTTAACTCTTAATTACTAGAACATCTTAACAAATCAAAGTCTCTATTAACTTCCTACTTTTTTGATATCTGAGAATACCAGAGATAAATTATATGTAGACAATTTAAATAGATTTTGTAATGTTAGAAACGATTTATTTGTGGTGCTTGTAGCATTTTCAAAGAAAGGCAACTGACCACAGCATAGCTCCTGTAGGTAAGCGAATTTTGGATCTAATGCTCACTTCCAGATGGATGATTGATATGCAATTTAGATTTATGGTAGACATATCAGCAGATAGAAATAGAATGAAGTAAATGTCTTTCCCACCTGTGAATGGTTTCACTCTATCAATTACCAGCTGAATTGTATTAAATTCAAGTAATTCAACAGAACTCTAATTAATTTTTGAGAGGAGAGGTTTTGTCAAGCTATTAATAAATCCAGGTTTCAAGTTGAGGATATAGAGCTTATTTAACTGCACAGGGAACCTATGGAAGCAAGTTTGGCATAGCATAGTTCACTCTTGTTAAGTTACTCTTGTTATTGCTCTGCCCAACTAATTGAAAAGCATATTGGTAGAATAGGAAGCAATTGAAACAAATGAGACAGACTGAGCACTCCAAAAAGACATGAGTGAATTAGAATTGATGAATCTGATGAGAATGGATTCATGGTGTCATTTTAAATAAAGTCGCATTTCATTCATGTACTTGCACCTAATCTGTCACTACAACTACTAAAAAATATTCAGGGGAGACACTGACAGTTTTATCTTAACACAATCAACTATATTCCTGCCATAATAAGAGGCAACATATATTAAAAGGTGTCTTGAATTCATCCTCTGAGGATGAAATGTTTTGCTCAATAACTTACACAACTTTTATCTGGCAGGCATTGGCTTAGCTCCAAAAGAGAAGAGTCTGAATGGCTCTAGGTTTATAGATTTTCAGAATTGGCAGAATTCTCATCATCTATTGAAAAAAATCTCTATTCCTTACTCTCAGTGTATGCAATCATAGAGTACTACAGCTGATAAAAATAGTGGGATGTTCTCCCAATTTCAAAAATGGGAACTTAATTTTTATCCTAATAGTCTTGACAATTACATCAAAATTTGAAAAGGGGAAAAAAAAAAAAAGAAAGAAAGAACCTTTTCACATACATTAGTTGCTACAAATGTATTGTGTGTGTTAACAGCACCGCTACTTGTTATGAATCCAAAACGGACAATTTAAAATAATGGGGAAATTCCATGGAGATTATTTTGGGTGAAATATTTGAAATTTTAAACAACTGGAATGTCTATAATAGTCGTTCAGGGGTAATGTGTCAAAATAAATGGGAATGTATAATTTTTAATTGTAAGTAAGGAAGATGGAATGGTTCCTTCCAAAATTGTTATTCAATAATAAAAATCTTTATTTTGAGGTGTTACAAACATCTGTATTTTGCCATCTGTAAATAATAGTATTTTTATATACTATTTTATCTTATGAACTATTAAATACTATAGTTGTAGTTTTTTGTCTTTTGGAAGATACTATTTTGAAACCCTTTATAAGAACATTTGCTATATAAAGTATGCAAAAATACATTAATATGTGAACGAAACATATGACTTAAGTAACTTATCAGTTGGTATGAAATATTATATAATATGAAGTTGTATGAATTTCTTAGATAACATTTATCTCTATCTGCTAGTTGTAGAGGTGGGAGGGGTGATTTGAATTGACTACCAAGGGTTTATTTTTAATATCAGTTTATTCATAGAAGACATGGTAAATTAATATTTCTCAAGTTGGAATTCCTGAAGATATGAAAGGAAACTGGGTGTGCCCAAAGCAAGAAGAAGGAAAAAACAGTAATAAATTTTGATGTGAAATATGCCAGAGTGCCTAAGTTTTATAGTGCATAAACCTTTGCTACCATGATGCAAGGCAGTCATAAACTTTAAACATTCAAACACTTCCAGTAGTGTGAATGTATGCAAAATACCTCATACATGATACTTGCTCAGTAAATAATAACTTTTTTTGAATATTTCTATAGTGGAAAGAATTAACAGAAACAGAGAAAATACTGACATTTAGGCTATGTCATACTTTCCTACATGTTTAAATTTCAAGGAAGGCTGAGCATGGAAAACAAAAAAACAGAACAATTTTACTGGAACAGTTTTCAAATATAAGAAAGATTTTGTCTAATCTTGCTTACAAACAAGCAACTGAAACCCTTAGCCTGAATGCTCAGCTGCCTGAACACTTCTAATCTATCCTACAAAATATATGAGAGGCTCTTTCTCTACCAGTAAATGTCTGAAAATTCTGAAATTCAGTTAGCCTCTCTGTATGCAGCCAAGATACAGGGTGAATCCCAGACAGACATTGATTAATAAGATACAGACTTTTCCTTAAAATCTGTCACATTTGCTGAGTGTATTGAGGTGATTTTGACAAATGGAAAAATTACACGCTTTGGAATAAGGCTGACCCAGGATTGAATCTCTGCTGTAAATTTGATGGTGTAGAAACTTGACTTAATAGTCATGGACCTCAAGTTGCCTTAAGCTTTAAAAAGTGGATAATATCTCATTTTGCAAGGGTGCAAGTAGTTGAATCTATCTATCTATCTATCTATCATCTATCATCTATCTATTTATCTATCAATCATCTATCTATCTATCACCTATTATCTATCATCTATCACCTATCTATTATCATCTATCATCTAGTTTCTTTCTTTCTTTCTTTCTTTCTTTCTTTCTTTCTTTCTTTCTTTCTTTCTTTCTTTTCTTTCTTTCTTCTCTTTCTTTAACTTATAAGACTCTGAAGTTTTTTTCTACTCGGGTAAATTAGTATAGCACTCATTCTATCACAATAGTAATCATGTTAAACACACTTTTACACGTATATCTGGAGTTTGGTATCTGAAAGGCATTTAACATGATTACAACTGTGATAGAATAAGTACTATACTATTTTACCACTGAATGGAACAAAGCTTTATAGACTGTTTAAATTAAAAGGAAGAAAGAAAGAAGGAAGGAAGGAAGGAAGGAAGGAAGGAAGGAAGGAAGGAAAGAAAGAAAGAAAGAAAGAAAGAAAGAAAGAAAGAAAGAAAGAAAGAAAGAAAGAAAGAAAGAAAAAGAAAGAAGGAAGGAAGGAAGGAAAGAAAGAAAGAAAGAAAGAAAGAAAGAAAGAAAGAAAGAAAGAAAGAAAGAGAAAGAAAGAAAGAAAGAAAGAGAAAGAAAGAAAGAAAGAAAGAAAGAAAGAAAGAAAGAAAGAAAGAAAGAAAGAAAAGAAAGAAGGAGGGGCAGGGAGGAAGGGAAAGAGGAAGGAAAGAAAGAGGAAAAAAGGAAAGTAAAGAAAGAGAGAGGTGGAGGGAGTGAGGAAGAGGGTAGGGGCAAGAAGAAAAAAAATAGGTACTCCTCCTTTTTATGCAATAATAACATTTGCATCCTGGGGCTGTTGTGTTA